CTGCCCTCCTGAACCTGATTTACACCCTAATGCATTTAGAGGTTTTAACGATGCCGAACCCTTTCTCTTCTTGTGTCATTGTAACACTTCCAGGTATATAAAGTATCACCTCTCACAGAGATCACAGGACCCCCGCCCTGACCTGTAACCTGCTCTTCTCTTCTGAAGGATGGCGCAATCTTTGTTCATGCATTATCCAGGGTCACCCTCTACTTCCTAGACTGAGATGCCGGCTCAGAGATGACACAGTCATGTAAATCCCGGTGCCTGTTCAGTTCTTGGCTGTGTTCACAAATGCTTTAGGTAGGCCCCTGCTGCAACCTTTTACCTTATGACTGGACACAAAGTTGCAAATTCACTGGGGGGAGGGGAGACGAAGGAAATGCTTCCTCCTCTCTGCAGCAGACTGATGACATCATCTAGGCCAGGGCTGCCCACATTTTTTTGTGTTAGGATCTACTTTTCAAATGACGAGCTACATGAGATCTACCAACGAAATAAAATCCTCGCTCTCTCCCATGTCTGTCCCTGCTCTCTCTCCTGGCTCACCTTGCTGTATTTTGCAAACAGTGCAGTGCAACAGGCTGTGTAAACTAATGTTCTTTGATGTAATACATGGCACTTCAACCACCAGAAACCACCAGAAAGGTGGCGGGGAGCTCGGCTCAGCAGACTCGGGCTTATAGGTAATCATGTGTGCACAGCTAAATAAATATACCAAACTGGACAAAAAGGGGCCGCCATTCCCCCCTTCGTGATCTACCAGCATCAGCTTTGAGAGCTTCTGGTAGATCACGATCTACCTCATGGGCACCCCTGATCTAGGCCAAGTCACCAAGACAGGAGCTCAAGGACATATTTTTTTATAATAAAAGGTTGAGCTTTTCTGAAAATGATACTGTTGCTGCACAATGTATCAAAATGTATCCCTGCACACTTGTAATAATAATGACAGGTCCACTTTAATTTTTATAATGATCTCTAATAACAAAATTCTTAATAACTTTCGGTGGTGAGTAAGTCATTTTTTTGGTGTTAAACAGAATTTTTTTTTCTCGGCATTATATTATAGTTCTATAAATAGAAATCTTTATCGGCGTTGGAATAAAACCTCACGATGAGTATCAGTAATTTCTCCACAACTACCGTAGTATGAGGTGTGAACAAGGAAACCTCAGAGATCTTATCCTCTGTGTGTGTATATATATGTATATATGTAATCGGTGATATTAGGTGTCATTCATTATTACACACATTGAACTTCTGCCCGGGGAAGAGTAACAACCAAAGGCGATACGAGGTAAGCATTATTTTTGGGAATCCGCTTATATTACCTGTATGGGATCAAACCTGCAATGGTTCTAAAAATGATCACAATGTACAGATATTGAGGAAAGTCTATACACCGTATACCCGCAATGTATCGTTCCCAGTTTTGGATGGAATGGTGAGAGTTTAGTCACTGCCTGTGTCCACACTGGGGAGATTCACATCGCCATTTGTCATGGTGACCACTGTGAGCTTGATGGGAAATCCAAAATGTTACCGTCACCAAAAAGGATTATTATTACCTTCACTCTGATGATAATTCTCTCAATTTGTGTTGTGTTTCTGGGTCAGGAAGTGAAGGGAAATCTCCCCAAGGGGACAAAACAGAAAAAAAATTGAAAGATATTTTATTCCTTCCCTATTCTAGCCAAACCCTTTAAAAAAGAGAGAAAATAGGCTGAGCATACACTTGACCTGTTCAGTTTTCACCCCTCTATACCCCCTATGGACCAGAGAAATGTTTACATTACTGCTATGGGTCTGTTTATTCATCAATAACTTTGTCATTACTTAAAATAACAAAATAACAATTTTATAAATATTTCTTTGGGGGGGGGGGGGGGGGGCTCAGGATAACAAAGCTTTCTTTTGCTAATATTGTTTTTTCAAGAATGATTCTAAATGCCATTGGTAATGGTTAAGAAAAATCTGACTGATGCCTGTGATCTCTATGAAACAAGTCTTTATTCCCTTATTTCCGCCGAAGACGCGCGCCGTGACTATCCGTCACTTCATCAGTTAGTAGATGTGGCAGAGCTTCTACAATAAGCCGATTATTAATCATTAAAATATATATAAAAATTGACGGCTAAACATTGGATGCAAAAAAGGAGCAAAATTAAACATGAGTTATTTTTTACAGTTGTATTTTGTTTTAACTCATCCCCCTGTATCCGTCACTTCATGCGTTAGTAGGTGTGGCAGAAATGATTTTATGTTATGCAAATAAACAAAAAGCATGACAGAACTAAAAAAAATAAAAATTCTGCGTTAGTTTTTTTTAATAATAATATTGTTACTGTAGATCAGTGGTTCTCAACCTTTCTAGGGCCGGGACCCCTTGGTATCATTTGCCAAGTTGTGGTGACCCCCAACCATAAAATTTAGGGATGCCCCAATACTAGTATCTGTGTGGGCTCTCAGGAGGCTCTGCGGGCTCTCAGGTGGCCAGTGGGACTCTCTGGTGGCGTCCAGTGCGGTCTCTGTGGTGCCCAGTGCGGGCTCTGTGGTTATTAAGCACACACCTCCCCTCACTACTGCCTGCTCCCCTTTCTCTGATCCTCTCCGGCCGCTGCTGCTGCAGTGCCATCTAGGAGAACTGACACGGCTGTGCTAGGAGAAGGCTGAGGAGCCTCTTACCTAGAGCAGCACAAGGCACGTGGGGACCCCCTCAACTGTGGGTTGCGACCCACTTTTGGGTCGCGACCCACAGGTTGAGAACCACTGCTGTAGATCTAAAGTACAAATTCTGTATTATCATGAATTATTCTATAATATAGAATTTGTATAATTCTAGTACAAAGCTTTCCAAAGTTTATTTATAAATAAATCATTTTTTGTTGTTGGTTTGAACTTTAAAAAAAAAAAAAATTACCGAACAAAACAAATAAAAATTTACATATAGGTTTAAATACGAATGGTTAAAAAAAATTTAACTAAACAAAAAAAGTCATCAGGCAAATAATAGTTAAAGGGAGAAGGTGAAGAAGGAGTTAATTTGGGCTAATTAGGTTAATCCAGAGATTAAATACAAATACATTTTTAGATAAACCTGTTAAGTTAAAAAAAAATAAAAATAAAAATATTTTTTTTACAAAAATCCCATCATTTAATTGCCTGGCAGAGGCGACCATGATTTGGTGGGGGGGGAGGTTTCTAGATGCCGTTGGTAATAGTAAAGAAGAGTTAGACTAATGACAGTGATCTTTATGAAACAAATTTTATTACACTGAAGATGTGTTTCATGACTATCCATCATTTCCTCAATATATCTATTTGCTGTTTATTTATATATTTATATATGTGCATTACGTTATACATTATGATATGTATCATGCATTAAGTTGCCCGTCTTTATATCTTGAGCTCTAATTTTAGGATGGGCTTTAGCTGTTTTAATTAATGACTGTATTTTTGATTTGTTATCTTCCATTTAAATTTTATATATACATCTATTGAATAGTCTCCTTATTGATTTTGTATGTTGATCGCTATTTTTTTCAACATTATGTTTAAACATGGGTTATTTTTTTACAAATGTATTTTGTTTTGATCCATCCCCCCGTCCTAAAGTGACACTAAACTCCGGAGTTCAACCTTAAAAATCCATCCAAGTCCCTGAACTATGAACAGCAATGTATCTTATTTGTGTATCACTCGGCTGTAGATCCTCCAATCATCTCTGAATTCATGAAGGATCGTTCTTGTCAGACCAATCTACTAACATTCCACAAGGAAGTATTAACCCCTTCGTGACTGACGACGTACAGTGTACGTCGCCAGCATCGGGGCTGTTTAAACAGACTCCCGGCGACTAGTCAGAGGAATACCAGTAGATGTGGTGTATTTGCACTTTGCTAAAGTATTCATTACAGTACCCCAAAAACATTTAATTCAAAAACTAAGGTCTATTGGTTTGGAAGAAATTGTATGTACTTGGGTGAAAAATTGGCTGCAAGAACGGATCCTGAGGGTAGTGATAAATGGGTCATTTTCTAACTAGGCAAATGTTGTGAGTGTGGTGCCCCAGGATTCGGTCCTGGTTATTTGTGTATCACTCGGCTGTAGATCCTCCAATCATCTCTGAATTGGTGCTGAAACTGTCCTTCCTTCTGGAGGGGGGCTACGTCTGTTCCCCATGGTCACTGTGTGTGTTGTAAAGTAGTCACCGCTCCAAGCTCCCCTCCCGGGATGGACTACAATCTCATGTTTAGTTTACTCATTTGTATGGAGATTGTAGTCCATCCCGGGAGCGAGCTTGGATTTTTAAGATTCAACTCTGGAGTTTAGTGTCACTTTAAATTAATTTTGCTAATTTTTTGCATCCAACTTTTAGCCGTCTATTTTTATATATATTTTAATGATTAATAATCGGCTTATGGTAGAATCTCTGCCACATCTACTAACTGATGAAGTGACTGATAGTCACGACACGCGTCTTCGGTGAAATAAAGATTTGTTTCATAGAGATCGCTGGCATCAGTCGGATATTTCTTACCCATTACCAATGGCATTTAGAATCATCACCCTCACCACGTCACCAAACCACGGGCACCTCTGCCACACAATCAAATGACGGGCTTTTTTTCTAACATGGTTTTAACCTGGCTTAGAAAATTATGACTGTGTGTAATAAAGCATTTATGGGACATACAGGTATGTCTTGTTACTTCACATGGGTAAAAATCCACGGCCAAAGAGTACAAAAAGGAAACGTGACCTCTTGTACTTCCTATTTGGTAGCCAATGGGGCCCGTCTTGAATCCTCTCTGTCCTCCTGCCAAGATCTGGGTGACAACCTCAATTTATTTTACTTTGTTTCAGCTGCCAGCTTTGACCAATCGCTTGCAATCAGTTCTATAGCTTATTATTTATGATGTCATGGGACGGACTTTCCATATGACTCTTGTAGTGATGAATTGATTTATTTTCAGTTTTTTTTTTCTTTTTAGGGGCAATCACAATGATCTTAAACATGCTCCTTTTTCTGGGGCTGTTCATCTTCCACCAGATCATTTCTACAACTCCTCCAACTCTTACCTATGGGTGTAAACTGGGCACGGCAGCTGAATGCAAAAAGGCCAGGTTTGTGCCCGGTCACACTCTGCTGGGAGAAGGATTGGATATTGTCACCATGAAGACCACTGGCTCGTTTCTTCTCAACCTGCAGAAAGTTGGCAAAACGTGTACCCTCTGTAGCAACCCGCATGTCAACAACACCCTGCAGAAACTGCCCAAGGCCCTGCTGGACTGGAAACCCCAGACTTCCTGTTCCAGGCATATTGTCAGCACGGTATCAGAGTCTAAAGTGTCGCTGGCAAAGGAAGCAACGTCTTTTGTACAGAACGACTGGAAAGTTGGCCTGGATGTTGGCGTGACGGTGGTGAATGCGAAGATAGCTGTCGGTGGTTCTCATTCAAATTTGGCAAAGTTTGTTGACAGTAAAAGCCTCCAGGACAAGTACAACTATCTCAGCCATAAATTACAGTGTACATACTACAGGTATGACTTACCATGAGGGGGGCACACTCATAGGGGATGTCACAAAGTAAAAGCTGCATTTCTTTGGTTGGGTGGTGGTGAAATTGAGCCTTTTCACCTTACATTTGTGTCATTGTCTTAGAATTAGAATGTGATCCTGAAACCAAAGATCTGTGAGCTATTACTTCTGTACTCTGTAAATAATATCCTTAAAGTGTATGCCAAACCAAAAACATTTTAGTTTTCAATGGAGTACGGAAGGATAAGAACTTTTTTGAGATTTAAAGGAGAACTATGAGGTTCACTCAACCTCATAGTTCGAGCCGACGTGTGACAATGAAACTGTCACACATCGGCTCAATAGATGGGGAAGTGAGCGAACGCATACCGTCGCTCGCTCATCTACCTGCAGAGAGCCGTGACTGTCAATCACGGCTCCCTGCAGGGATTCCCCACTCCCCTGTCCGATCCTCCAGCGCTGACTGGCGGCTGTCACTCACGCAGCTGGGTGGACTGGCGGCTGTCACTCACGCAGCTGGGTGGATCTCGACATTAATGTCTGGATCCGTCCCGGCTGCAGCGATCTCAGTATACCGTAAGCTGTAGCTGGCGATATACTGAGCTTTGGGTCACGGGAGGACGCTAGTTTATGTCCTCCCGTGACCCTTAGGAGAACTATGGGGAAAAACACTGACCCCATAGTTCTCCTTTAAATCACTAAATACCTAGTTTCCATTAGCTATTTACATTACTTAGCTTGTATTTTGTCTTGGTACCTTGTACTACGTATATCTGGCAATGTTTTATAAGTCAATCCATATAAAATGTACTCCTTAAAGTTGAAAGTGAGGTTCTGCCAAGGAGCATTGTATGTGAGATGAATGTTCTAACTTCTAGTAATATCGGTTATGTCTTGCCCTTTTAGTTTCCATTTGGCTTCTGATGCCCCATTAACTGCTCACTTTGCCCAAGAACTGCAAAAGCTTCCAGAGACCTATGATATGAGCACCAAGGCTGAGTACAGACGTCTAATACGTAAATTTGGAACTCATTACATTACCCTTGCCAACATTGGAGGTCGCACTCAAGAGATCACAGCCGTCAGAGCATGTGAAGTGACCATGGATGGTCTGACGTTAGATGAAGTCAAGGATTGCCTCAATGTTGAAGCTGAGATCGCAGCGTCCACTCCGGAGCAGTCAGCTGCTTTGAAATCTAAAGTTGAGCACTGCAAAGAAAAATCAAAGATAGCCAACTATGAGAACACCTTTCACCAAACATTCAAGGAGCGGACCTGGGAGGTGAGTTGTAAAATTCTTCTCAATTGGGCCATCCATGCATCAACACCAAAAACCATGAAGCTATAAGTACTTATACACTATATAGTCGAAAGTATGTGGAGAGCCCTCCAAATGTTGGAATTCTGGTGTTTTCAGGGAATAATATTGTTTTTGCTACAGCATACAAATATATTTTATACAACTGTGCACTTTCAACCATGTGGCATCAGTTTGGGGAAGGTCGTTTTTTGCTCCAGAATGACTGTGAGCACAAAGCTGGCTCCATAAAACACAACAAATAGTACTTATCTGGTGATATCCCCAAAGTCCCTCTGTGATCCCTTTGTTTACTCACGTTGCCCAAATATTAACAACAACCCCTTCCTTCTGGCTTGATTTCTTCAATTTCTCCCTCCGTGTATAGTTTCTCCACTCACGTGTTGTAAGCTTCTGGGCCCCACCAGGTCTCCAATCACATGACGTTTCCCTGTAGCAGAGGAATGCTGTCAGTTTGTAACAGATGTGCAAGAAAATGTAGCAACTTCCCCGGGTGTAGTAATTAAACACCTTTATTCAAAATACAGTGGTACCTCGGTTCACAAACTTAATTCGTTCCACGATTCTGGTCACGAACCGAATTGGTCGCGAACCGAATCAAACTGTGATCAGACCGCGATCTCGACTAGAGGAAGCCACGACCATGTGTCAGAGCAGGGAAGATCACTACGGTTGTGTTCATCACCCCACGGAAGCAAAATTTTGCCGAACTTCCTGTTCGCAAACTGAATTGTTCGTGAACAGAAGCGTTCGTGAACCGAGGTATTACTGCATTGCAATTTTCCACTCGCATACATTTTTTTTTTTCTCATCTGAATTTTTATTGAGGAGAATAGAAATGACAGCAGTACAAAACCATATATTATACGGATATGCTTAAACTACGTAAAACACAGTAGTACAGAGTTGCTCAGGACATTCTGACAGGGTGAGAGGTGCATATAAAGAAGCTCTAAGAAGGTACATCAGGTGAGCTAAAAGTGGGTTCCTTTGGGCACATCCGGGAGATGAGCTGATGAGGTTGTGAGTAGAATAGGTAGCCTATGAGGGGTTAGGGTCCAGCATCAAGTTGGTGGCAGAGGCTTCCCGTATGTGTGCTCAGAGGGAGCCACGCCGTCAAGGTGAGCTGCCATGCATCCTGAGATTCGCTATGATGACATACAACAGAGAGATAAGAGGGGTGAAAGGGGGGGGGGCAGAAAGAGAGAAAGTATCAGGAGTGGAAGAGAAAAATAAGAAGAAAAAGGAGGAGGGAGCGGGGTGGGAGAGGAGATGTCAGACGGAACACAGGAGACCAATTACTGCTCGTGGGGTTGTTATGTGTATACCATCATAAGAGGAGAACACTCGCATACTTTTTAATGGAAACAAGCTTGTCACCACCCCGGTACTCATGGGGGAACAGTGCACAGGCACTGGCTCCCTGTTCTCAGTGTCGATGGCACAGTGCTGTATGTTCTGTGCTCGCCAACTGATTTCAATCTTCAACATGGGTTCTTTATATGAGGCCTAAAAAAAGCCATTTATTCTACCCCACCATCCCGATAGTAAGGGCCTTTTGTTTGTGTATTTGTTGGTCTGCTGATAGACATGTTGAGAATAATATAGAAGATATTAAAAAAATTCTTTTGATTCACAGGTAAAAGGAGGAAAAGCGACGTTTGATCTACTTTCAGTTGTGAATGGGAAAACAGAAGCGTTTGAAAACTGGATGGAAAGCTTGAAAACTCATCCAGGCCTTGTGTCCTACTCCCTGGATCCCATCCACAACCTGGTGAGATTTGAGGGTCCTCAGAAAGAGAACCTGAGACTTGCAGTAGGGGATTACATCAAGGAAATGGCTATCATAGAGAACTGTTCTTGCTCTGCCCCCTCGTATGCCATTCATGGAAGGGACTGTTCCTGCATGTGTCCGGTCACTGAGTACACAAGTTCAAACTGCTGCCCAACACAGAGAGGAATCGCCAAACTCCATGTAACCATAAATTCAGCTACAGGACTGCGGGATGACTTCTTCACAAAGACAGACGCCTACGTGAAATTCCAATTTGATTCTGCTGATAGAGCAACCAGAACCATCTGGAATAATAACGATCCCTTTTGGAATGAAACTTTTAACATGGACTTTGTGGAACTGGGTGACAAGAAGACATTTAAAATTGAAGTGTGGGATGAAGACCGTACATCTGGTGACGATCTTCTTGGAAGGTGCGAGAAAACTCTGACTTCGGGAGAATGGTTCGAAACCTGTTACCTGAATCATGGAAGCCTTAGCTATTCCATAAGTGTCACTTGTTCCTCCTACCTCCATGGCCAATACTGTGAGGGCTACAATCCCGTCCCACCAAAATGATCCTGTTATTCAAAAGTGAAGCAGATTCTTCATCACCCACAATACTGTTTTCTATAACCAAAAAATGAAGACTGCTTCCTATTTCAAGGGTTGCTTTTACTTGCTATGCTATAAGGCATTAAACATTTTTGCTTGCTTAAAGCCTATCTAAACCTAAAAACAAAAATGTGATACATATGGTGGCTTACCAGTCCTAAGATGTGGTGGCTGCATTAGTTTTCTTTCATCAGGGCTTAGAAATTTTGTAATTAATACAGAAAATACCCTAATCCCATACTAATCCCATCAATCCCCCATGTAATGAAGATGAACAAAGGCAGACATGTTGTACCTGGGTGACCACCATAGCTCCATTCATGGATACAGTGGCTGTAGACACAAGGGCTCAGGATGTGTGTTTCTGGTAGGATTAGGGAGTCTAATAAAGGGAAAAATATGAAATCCATGAATGAAGCCAAGACATAAAGGCAGGGAAGATGGAATAACATTATTAATCAATATAGAAAATACCTAATCGCATACTAATCCCATCAATCCACCGTGTAATGGAGATGGACAAAGGCAGACATGTTGGGTGACGACCATACCTGGGTGACGACCATAGTTCCCTTCATGGATACAGTGGCTGTAGACACAAGGTCTCAGGATGTGTGTTCCTGGTAGCATTAGGGCATCTAATAAAGGGAAAAATATGAAATCCATGAATGAAGACACCACATAACAGCTGGTAAGATGGAATATATCACATTTTTGGCTTTTGAATTAAAAATCAATAATGCATCAATACTGTTGTAGACTGCCATAAAGAGAAATGAAGGAAGATATGTTTAGAGTCCAGCCTAGAGGACCGCCAGAGCTCCCTCCATGGATACAGTGGGTGTACTAGTAGAATTGGGAAATGGAATAAAGGGGGAAAAATCTGAAATCCACGAATAAAGCCATCACATCTAAGAGCTGGTAAAATTGAATATATTACAATTTTGGGTTTTGGATTCAAAATCAGTAATCCATCAATAGAATTGTAGACTGCCATAAAGAGGAAGGAAGGAAGACATGTTTAGAGTCCAGCCTGGAGGATCACCAGAGTTCCCTCCATGGATACAGTGGGTGTAGACTCCAAAGGGACAGGACCTGTGTTACTAGTAGGATTGGGAAGTGGAAGAATGTGCATTACTGGTAGGATTAGGAGGTTAAAATAACGGGGTAAAGTCTGACATTTTTGGTTTTTGGATTTAAGATCAGTAGTGCTGTAGATTGCAATGAAGAATAAAGAAGGAAGACATCTGTAGGGTCCAGCTTGGATGACCATCATAGCTCCCTTCATGGATACAGTGGGTGTAGGCACAAAGGATGGGATGTGCGTTACCAGTAGAATTAAGAGGTTAAAAAAAGGGGAAATAACCTGAAAGCAATCACACCTAAGGACTGATTAATTGAATATATCACATTTATGTGTTTGGGGATTTAGGATCAGTAATGTATCAGTAGTGCTGTAGACCATCATAATATGAAGCAGATATTTGGGAGAATTGTGTGTTGTCATTTCGTACATCTCTGTAATAACTATTGGACCTCCAATTATTTTAATATGGTTTATTGAGAATTCACCAAATGGGGTTTGTAAAGTGTATGTCAAGCCAAAAAAACTCAATACCTTTTTTATGATGTAGTGGGGGAGGATTAAAACCCCAGCTGAGCCAATATTGCTATTCGGGGCTCTTCTTCAGCAACACAGACAGAGATGCAAATCTTGCAAAAGAAATATGGCAACCACACGGAAGGATGGGCTATCCCCAGGCATACATGCACGCAGTTTGTCCATTGCTATAGATGCTCCAATATGGTCAAGGCTGGATTTCCCACAAGGCCAACCAAGGCCCGGCCTCTGGGAAAGCAGGGGTGTGGAATTCCTATCTCCCGATGCCCGGGGCATGCAGTTCCGGGCACTGGGCGGGTAGTTGTTTTCTACAGCTTGGGCAAGCAGAGCTAAATGTACAGCTGGGAAGCCGTCGCTTGTTTTGAATGCAGGCTGCAGGTCTGGGGGAGCATTGAGGAAACTGGCCTTGGGGCAGCAGAGAGAGTAAATCTGACCTGAATATGGTGGCGCTCATGGATTAGAGTTGGGCCCACACTACACAGAGGGGCCTTGGCGAGGCAGTGCGGCTTCCACATATTTTGCAAAAGTTGTTCAACCTTTTGATTATAACACAGGTTGTGAGACAGTGTAAGCGTTTTTTTTGCAGGCCGGCTGGTAAGTGTGTTTGTAGAAATACAAATCTGTCCGGTGGTTTTGGCCTTTCTCTACTCTACCAAAGAAAAGCCTTTTTATTCCTGTCTGTACGGCTATTTTAGATTTCCTTTCACTTCCTGTCTGCATAAACACCAGCAGGACAGGAGGTAAGGATGATAGCAGTCACAGACCTGATGGTGGATGCAGGATGACCTGGGCTCAGAGGAATTGGGATGAATGAAGCTGTCTATCAAACTGGGGACATCTAGTGGCAAAAAATAAGTACTGCCGGGGAAATATCTGCTAAATATTGGTTTTGTTATGTTATCATGTAATGGACCCTTCATTTTGATCTTTTTTTGCTTTAATAAACACATTTGAAGTCATTTCCTAGTGGTGGTCATTGGATATCTGTATTGTGGTGTCAATATTTGTACTGTAAACCTAATGGGGATGGCAAAGCTCCAGGTCATTTGTGAACATTGAGGACATATAGATATCTTAAGCATCCGCTGCTCAGAGACTCTCTCAAGATAATCTCCTAAAAAGAACGGCCGACGGCCCACTTATACTCACCATGGCTGCTCAAACCTTCACGGTGGCGTAACAATCGCCATAGAGACCCAGGGGGCCGCTATGGCATATCAGGTAGGTCCAGGACCAATCATGTCATCCAGTGATGTAGATCCAGGACCAATCACGTCATCCAGTGATATAGATCCAGGACCAATCACGTCGTCCAGTGATATAGATCCAGGACCAATCACATCATCCCGTGATGTAGATCCAGGACCAATCACGTCATCCAGTGATATAGATCCAGGACCAATCACATCATCCAGTGATGTAGATCCAGGACCAATCAAGTCGTCCAGTGATATAGATCCAGGACCAATCACATCATCCAGTGATATAGATCCAGGACCAATCACATCATCCAGTAATGCAGATCCAGGGCCAATCACATCATCCAGTGATGTAGATCCAGGGCCAATCACATCATCCAGTGATGTAGATCCAGGGCCAATCACATCATCCAGTGATGTTGATCCAGCCCCAATAACATCATCTATTGATGTAGATCCAGGACCAATCACATGATACGGTGATGTAGATCCAGGGCCAATCATATCAGCCAGCTCCTTGCATCAGGGCTGAAGGCTCTTGAGAGGAGTGCTGAAGCAGGGTGCCAGGATGTTGTCAGGAAGCCATGTACAGCATACTGCTAGCCCCTCCCACCAAATCATGATCTGCCTGCATTGCATAGATGGCCTCATTAGGTCTATAATAAGGTGTGTAATGAAAATGGAAAGGTTTTATTTCAAAATAAACATTAGCATGTTGGTGAGGGGGGTGGGACTTGGACTAAAAAAAAAGTGTCTTGTTCTGAGTCTCGACATGACTGTAAGAAACCTTTGTGGTCAATATATTCATCTCTTGAGCTCTGCTACATTTCACATGTATTTGGGTAAGTGACCCCAGAAATCTGCACCCACGCGGCTCGTCCACAGCCCGGGGTGTTTAACCTAATTCTATGTTCCTCGTATTCTGAAAATTTCCATGAAAAGTGGAACCGGTAATAAATTACTGCAAATCTACCGCTCGCTTTAATGATTATTCCTCGAAATCCTGTGCTGGAGTTACAAACGTTCAATAAGATTTCTATCAAAATTCAGAAGTTTAGGTGAAAATTTTGCAACTACAATTCCTGCGAAAACACTTTGTTCCCCTCCACACATATTACAGTCCTATATCATATCTGAGTTAGCATGCAGCATGTCACACATCAACATGTCTTACGTTACATTCATTTGAAATGGGCTGACAATGCACAGCAATGGACCATACAAAAAACAAATCCCCCCATAATCCCCCCTCCCCCAAACTTTACACTTGGCACAGTGCAGTCAGCCAAGTACCGTTCTCCTGGCACCCGCCAAACCCAGATACGTCCATCGGATTGCCAGACAGAGAAGCGTGATTGGTCGCTCCAGAGACCACGCCTCCACTTCTCTAGAGTCCAGTGGCGGCGTGCTTTACACCACGGCATCCCACGCTTTGCATTGCCCTCGGTGATGTAAGGCTTGGATGCAGCTGCTCGGCCCCCATTCCATGAAGCCCTCTACGCACTGTTGTTGTGTCAATCTGAAGGCCGCATGGAGTTTGGAGGTCTGTAGCTGTTGACTCTGCAGACAGTTGGCGACTTCTGCGCACTGTGCGCTTCAGCATGCGCTGACCCCGCTCTGTCATGTGACGTGGCCTACCACTTCCTGGCTGAGTTGCTGTTGTTCCCAGTTGCTTCCACTTTGTTATAATCCCAGTACCAGGTGACCACGGCGGAATATTTAGTAGCCAGGAAATGTCACGGATGGACTTATTGCACAGGTGACAACCTATCACGGTACCACGCTTGTAGTCACCGAGCTCCTGAGAGCGACCCGTTCTCTCACCAATGTCTGTAGAAGCGTCTGCATGCCGAGGTGCCTCATCCTATACACCTGTGGCCATGGAGGGGATTGGAACACCTGAATCCAATTTGGAGGGGGCGGGGCCCAATACTTTTGGCCATATAGTGTATATATATATTATGTTATATAGGAAGTTTATTTAGTTTTCAGAAAGTTTCCTCGCTGCTGCGTCAGCACAACTAGATATGCTTCATTTTTGTTTTGAGGTTTAACTGAAAACAATAAAACTTTTGTGAAAAGAAAAGTCACAGTGTGGTGGCATCGCATTCTCGTCTTCTCTGCTCTGTCACGGATCTTATCTC